TGTCATGTCCATAGCTCTTCTGGGGTTTTATCACCTAGAGCACTTGAGGGGGTTCTATTAACAATATATGAAGCTGTCATTACAGCTTCACCCCATAACACCTTAGGGACACCTGAGCCTATCAACATGCACCTAACCTTATCTAGCAAGGTTCTATTCATCCTTTCAGCCACTCCATTCTGCTGAGGTGTATAAGGTACTGTTTTGTGCCTTTTAATACTAGATTCTTTGCGCAACTGATCAAATTCAGCATTGCAAAACTCAAGGCCATTGTCCGTCGTAAGGATCTTAATTTTCTTTCCAATCTCATTTTCAACTAGAATCTTCCAAGTTCTGAATTTCTCAAAGGTTTCAGATTTGTGTTTCATCAAATAAATCCAAACCTTCCTAGAATAGTCATCAATTAAGGACAAGAAATATCTATTTCCTCCTTGAGTAATAGTGGATGAAGGTCCCCACAAATCAACATGTATATACTCAAGGATAGAAGTGGTTCTATGTTTTACTGTGTTAAAATGCAGCCTATGCTGCTTACCTAAGGTGCAGTTTTCACAAAAGGACACCTTAGATATAGAGTCTTTTCCAAACACTCCTTTCTTATAAAGGATGTGTAGGCTCTTTTCACCTACAGGGGCCAATCTCTTGTGTCACTTTAAGATAGCATCAACTTCTACACTAGAAGACTCACCTATGTGATCAGACACTGTACTAGCTCTGGTCACATAAATCCCATTTCTTTTAACACCTTTAAAAATAACAAGTGATCCTTTTATCACTTTTAAGAAACCATCTCCTATTTTTCCTTGCAATCCCATATCATCAAGATTTCCCATGGAAATCAGATTCCTATTTAATTCAGGAACATACATCACCCTTTCAAGAGTGTAAATGTATCCATTATCGAATTTCAAAGTGACATTCCCAACTCCCTCAACTCTACAGGCTACATTATTGCCCATAACCACTTCTCCTCCATCAATTTTCTTAAAATTGTCTAAATATGCCTTCTTAAAGGTCATATGGAAGGTACAACCAGAATCCAAGATCCATTCTTGGTTCTGATTCTCATCAACCACATTTGCAGAGCTAGGTAAATTTTCAGTCACAGCATATACATCAACTGTGGCAGAACCTTCAGATTCTACCACATTACCTTCATCAACACCCTTCAGTTTCTGTTCATTTTTCTTCTTATAACAGTCTTTAATGAAATGTCCAGTTTTCCCACACCCATAACACTTTTTAGTTCTAATCCTTGACTTAGACCTACCTCTACCTTTAAACTTTCTCCTATTGTTGTTTCCCTGATTATTATGGCTTTCCTGAGTACCACTAGACCTACTTAAAGTCCTTCCTCTAGCAAACAAGTTTTCACGGCCACTATTACCTCTCTCAGACTTAAGTTCAAGTTCCTTACTCCTTAAAGAATCTATGACAATATCAGGTGTAAGAGTATCTCTACTATACTTAATGGCGGCTTTAACCTCTTTGTAGGCTTCCGGTATAGCATTAAGTAGTACTACAGCCTTATACTCATCAAAAACTTTCTCACCTGTATTGATAATGTCTTGAACTAACTTATTAAAAATGTCTAAGCTATCTTATAAGTCTCTAGTTGGATCTATCCTAAAGCTGAAAAATTTCTCTAATAGAAACAACTAATTAGGCAAAGACTTACGTAGATAAAGTTTCTTTAATTCATCCCATAGAGCCTTAGCAGAATCATGTTTACCTACTTTTCTTGAAACTTGATCAGACAAATGCAGAATAATGGAGGTATAAGCAAGTTCATCAGATTCTTCCTTTTGGTCATCTGTCATGGTATCAGGAAACTCATCTGTTATTGTTTTAGAAACTTTTTGCTGAACTAAAACACCTCGCATTTTTTGTTGCCAAATGGGAAAATCCCCTTTTCCATCAAAAACACTAAATTCAAAAGATTTTGTCATGTTTTATTGTGAAAAATTAACACACAGGATTTTCCAAAAAATTAAAACAAGACAAATGATCAACTTTTGAAAAAACTGTTGAATTTGACCTTCACAAAAATTTATGTTTTAGGTCACAAAAAATATGCAGTCAAATGAATGAGCCACAATTATTTTAATCACAAATAATTTCAATCAATAACAGGATCAGTAAGTATACTAATGTAAACACCACAAGAACCAGAGAATACAACAATGTAGGCAAAAACCATATCTCAATATCAAAAACAATATCTGCAGGACCTAGGGTTGATCAAATTCACCAGGATTCCGTGAGAATCAAGTTCTCAGGTCAAGGCTCAATTTGAATCACCCACACTTTAATGATCACAGGCAAATATAACAAGATATCACTAACTCATGTAACAAGTTACAGTATACAGGAAATGAACATATCAACATAGTCACATAGAGGCATATACTCATAAAAGCAGAATTAAGAGTGTGTGCTGTCGTGTAGGGTTCAAGAAAGTGCAAACCGAAAGGTGGTTAAACAATTAACCACCAGCTGAAATCAAAACAGGTTATCGCAGTGGGGGATAAGTGCTCTGCAGGTCACCAAAATTCAAGTCAAGCCATAACAGCTTCAAGTCCTTCCAATCAATTTCGAAGTTAGGGTTCCAGCTCAAGAACGAAACCCACAAGGACTCGTATTTCAAGTTCTTTCACAGATCAAGGCGAGGAGACACAGAATTCCCTCGCATTTCATAGTCCGGTAATGAATCAGCTCCACAGACCACAAGGTCGACTCAAATCAAAACCTAGGGTTTTGCGATCTACAGTCGAACACCTGGAAATTAATTTTCCAGTGTTCAAACCTTCAATCGAAGACTCAAGAACGAACAAAGAAAGCTCTGATACCACTATTAATCCAGAATCTGTTCAAACTATACAAATCAGAATATATACACACACACACACACACACACACACACACACACATGCAGCAGATTTACAGAAAACCTAAGCCACTGGATCAAGGTTTAGATCTATTCATAGGCTCAGACCATACGCCCTTTTATAACCATCACAGAGGCACCGAACTCAACACACAAGCCCTCACAACCCCAAAACACCAAGTCGCTTCACTGGAATCGAAAATGGACAGACCACTTCCAACAGTTTACTCACACAAAGGAGACTAACACAATGACATGATTATCACAAAGATAATCAACAGAAGTTCTCACACAGAGAACAAGAAAAGGTCACAAAGACGAAAGCCATTAAAGGTTCCAGAATACACAGAGAAAAAGAGAACAAGAAAAATGACCGTCTCTCTCCCAAACAAGGGATAAGGGATGTATATATAGTAAACCAATCCACCGTTAGATTGAGTGGGTTAATCCAACGGTCCAAGAACGACTAGGGTTAAAAGGGCTGGATATTGGGCTCGGTTTAAGTGGGCCTTCTAGGTTTTAATAAATGGACCATCTATTGATTCCATATTGAGCCTTATTTCATCACTGCCTATTAGTTGGACTGATCAAATGGCATCACAGCCCAACACAATGGTATATTAGGTTTTTGCTATTGAATTAACATTTGTTTCATGTTTGAAACCTTTCCAACTTAACTGTCCAATTATTGAAAGTAAACATATATTTAAATTGAGACTTGCTAGCTCTTATTCTCACTGGAAGTTAGTATCAGTGTATCGTTAAACTCAGCTCATTTTCTCCATATAAAATTTTCTATATACATTGGGATAGGTCAGGTAATCTTCTAGATCTGTCTCTATAGATTAGGTTTCTTCTCCCGTATTAAAAATTCTTCAACAGCCATAATTTCAACAATTGAAACGTGGTGACGCCGTTTCCTATTAATAATATGACATCTACATATAATATTAGAAATATGACAACGCTCTCACTGTCTTCTTGTAAACACATAGTTTATCTTCATTTTTGATATAATTAAACCTTTTGTTTTCCTCATCAAAGCGAAGATTCCAGCTCGAAGAGGCTTGCTTCAATTCATATACAGATTGATCAAGCTTGTATGTCTTAGAAGTACATCTTTAATTTTTTTTTAAAAGTGGGTTATTTGCACTTTTTATTCCCAATCTTTTCGAAATGTTATTAATCTACCATCAACTTTTTTTTACACCAAACATCCTAAAATTTTATGTAATTGCAAATCATGTTCCTTCGTCGATTTTTGTCGTTAAAATCGGAGTAATGTGAGGAGCCCTTTAAATAAACAACAAAGACAAAGAAAATAAATAAATAAAGGAAAAATTACATTAGGAGTCCTAATTTTTAAAAAAAAATTACAAATGGATCATCTTCTTCCCCTAAGACCCCCTACCCACCACCAAAAGTAATTTGAATGTATAATCTTTTTCTAAATCTCTAGATACTTGAAAATAATTTTGTCATTTATAAGATACTTTCATAATATATTCTATCTGGAGAATCATATCGAAAGGGAAACAATTAAATAATAAGTAGTATGTTGCATTACAACACGAGACTAGCGCACTCATTGGCTTATGGCTTGACTAAAGGAGATCATGAGTTTTTATTTAAATAAATTTAATCTCCACCCAATATTTAAAATAATAAATTTTAATTTTAAATAATTACCAATTGTCGAGATTAATCAAATTAATGCACAGTTTAATTATTATTGGCTTTCATTTTTAGATTAATATGATTTTTAAGCTAAAACAATCGAGAAAAAAGAGTTTTTGATCAAATACATTATATTCTTAGTTACCCGAGCAATGACACAAATTAAATCTATATATCCTGACTCAAGAAATGATAATATTTCAATTTAGTCCTCGTACTTTGAATTTCTTTCGCTTTTACCTGTTTTCATTTGTTTCTTTCAATTCCTCCAATTCGACTCGAGCTTTGCTTAACAGATAGAATTAACATCTAATTAAGTCATAAGTTATCGTAATTCAAATACTAAAAAAAAAAAAAAAAAAAAAAATTATAATCAAGTTACTGATTTTCATTCAAATCATAGGCAGCTTGATCTGTAGGAGCTGCAAATACATTCTTAATTCGTTGAAATTATACACTCTAATGAAGATTAGTACTCCAATAATAAAAAATTGAAAGAATTCACCATCTTTTACAAATCCTCGAAGTGTGCCCCATACCATCTTAGTTTCTTTTTCTCGATATTAATGTTCAGTGATAATCAATCATCGCCATTACACTGTAAATATTATAATTATGTAGAGAATGACTATTATATTGAATGGTTGGTGAGCGACATTTTTCTCTTCCACATTCATCTTGGAAGGCCAAATAAAGGCTAGTATCAGTTTCTTAAAGTCTTTATACTATGATTTCACAATCAAAATGTGAATGTAATAAAGAAAAAAATGGGTATTGCAATACAAAAATAAAAAATAGAGCAGAAAAGAATATGAAAGGAAAAAAAAAATAAAAAAAAATTAATGTCGTGGTGGCATTTCGACAATAGTTTCGAGTGCAGGCTGCCATGATCTTTGTATTGAATATCTCTCAGAGGGCTGTGAGTCTCTTGTTGAAGAAACCTCAATCACTGCCTTGGCTTCTGAATTGGGAAATAGACAAAAATGATCACCAAGAACTGGAAAAATCTTGGAAAAATTCAAACTTCCTTGTTTAAGTCCTTTGGATGCCTTGTCGTTGAGCCAATTCATCTCCTCATTTGTTAACACTGAGTAGAGCATTTCCATTGGAAGAAGAAAATAAAATTGTCCGTGTTCGAGTACTTCTTCCGCGGAGACTCCTGGGATTCTTTGGCCAATTTTTAGGTGACATGAATGACATAGAAACTGTCCAGGATTTTCTAACATGAGTTCTGCTGCTGTCACTCTCTTTGTGTAGATAATCAACCTCCCATCAGTGGACAAAACTTTCGCTACACCAATAGAGATCATTGAAAGAGCACATAGTGCTGCATTGCCCATGTGTGTGATTGAGAGAGAGAGAGAGAGAGAGAGTTGTCGGGGGAGGAAAGGGAGGTAGGATATGGGAATGGATACTACTTATAAAGGTTTGATGCCTTTCTAAATTTCGGTTGACGGCCTTAGATTAAAACTAACAGAGGCAGAGGTATCAGATGTGTCACGAGTGCGTAAAAGTAGCTCGAAAAGGGGTGCAAAACGATGATATATTTGTTAAGGGGTAATTTTTACATCGGTTTAATACCAAGGCATAGATCAATTTACAAGGACTTGAATTATTTCTCTTAAACAATGTTAACATTTTAATATGGATCCCATGTTTTAATATGACATCATAGTCATTAAGTTCTAACGAGTAATTCGATTCGATTAAACTCGAATTAGTACACGAATTTCAGTATTGATCTGTTCAAACAAGTCACTATCTTGTGTGATCATGTTAATAACTTATTCTCACATCGGTTAAATGTCGAAATATTGATTTATATAAGAGTTTTATCTAATTCTCTTAACATGATTCACCTTTTTTAAGATGGCATATTAGATTAATATCATCCAAAGAATTAAATAATACTCAAGTAGATTACAAGGTCATCATCAATTACATGAGAAGGAAAAATAGTTTATGCTTGCAACAAGTAGTTAAGAAAGTAAGAGGGTGAAAGGTTGGTTATCTAATTAATTAAATATACTTGGATAATCATTTTTGCAAAAGATTGAGATGAATTTATCAAAATGACAAAGAGATAAAAGAATACTAAAGGAAAATTTAGGCAACAAAGGTCTAATAGCGTGGTTTAATACAGTACTATATCGGCAAAGATCTTCAATTAAAGTCAAACAATCACCAATTTGATGAAATTTTGTGTACGTGTTAGATTTTGGAGAAAAAAATGAATTTCATCTTCACATGAAGGGATATGTTAGAGACAAGATAAAATCAAGTAGTTCAAGAATTCATTCACGAAGGAGAAAATGGTCCACAAAATATTTGATGGTGAGAGAATTGGTAGGCAAAATGGCTGTCTGGATACAAGTGGAATAAGTATTTTAAGAAAATGGATTTGGCAATGATAGTTGTGTAGATTCAAATCAATTTTCTTGGATTGATTTTGTTTATTTATTTAGTCGAGCACATGGTAGGCATGAAGCAAGACTTCACATAAGGACACCACCAAACCAATTATATGACCAATTTGTTCATTATTCAATTTGGACACTTACCAAACTTCCCCCTAATTACGTCTCTCCAAACACACACAGCTAGAGTTCAGGTAAATTGGGGGATGATGAAAAGAGAATCTCAATGTGTATCTTTACTTTGTAGCAAGATGACTTGTCAATTTTCTATAAGTATTACACCTTGTTGTTAAGGACGGCAACGGAGCAGAGCGAGGTCGGGGTAACCATTCATGTTTCCCGTCCCATCGGGTATTTTTCTCTCCTTGGCCCACTTCCATATACAGTTAAGGCAAGGTGAAGTGAGCTTGAATGGGACAATTGCAGGGCAAGGCGGGGCGGTGGGGCAAGTCCCCTTCACCGTTTATTTATTATTTATTTTTATTTTTATTTTTATTTTTATTTTTATTTTTATTTTTATTTTTTAATTTCTTTAATTGGTGAAAGTCACTAATTTTTTTCTTTTTTTTCTATTTGTAGAACGATATATGCTTCGTTCAAAAAGGATGATGATTCTTTGATTTTTGTATGATAAGAAACTCATATTTTAAAATGATCTTTAAACCAAGCGAAACTTGAGGATATCGCATTTAACGAATTTTTTTGTCATTCGTGTGTCAGAGTTTGTTATAAATAAATACCCTATTCTGAAGCCCCAATTGTTCAATGTGCCTCTCTCTTTCCTTTTCAAGCCCCACGTCGCTCCACGGGATGACAACGCTTGAATCCCCCCGATCACAAGCCTTTTATTTTTTTTAATTGTATCATGAAGATGAAACTGCTCTCCATTGTTAGTATATCAAATAATTATGATTCAAACATTTTTATTTTATTTTGAGAACTCGAGCAAATCAATTGTTCACTCGGTATTTGGTATGTTTGCTAAGGTAAAATGATAATATTGAACGGGATAAAGTTACTTTGATATAAGGATTTGATAGAAAGTTCGGCATCATTGTACGTGATAGTAGATGATTGGATAAAACGTTAACTATATTTTAAATTATCCAATGATAGAATGTCAAACTTTATGTCAATATTGATGTTCATGTAGCATGATTTTATTGACATTCTATCAAACTGTATCTTAACATTGATCTTCATGTAGCATGATTTTATTGAACGATATTAAAAGAATTATAATTTTATTCATGGAATATGATATTTGTCCAGGTTCAAAGAGAAGGAAAAAATAAACTGACTTGACAGCAGATGATTGGATGTTTGTTGTTTTTAGTTTTCAAACAGTCCAATCACGTGTTGACACGTGTGCACCCTATTTTTTAACTTTTTTTTTTTTTTTAATCTCGTTTGTGCAGCATTATTCTTTATTCATTGGATGGTTCAAAGATATTGACCCTTTCTAGATATTTTTCAAAATTATCCACCACAGGAGTCTTATACAATGATTAGCTGTTATTGAACTTTGGAGTTTGACTAAAAGTTATCCCAAATTATATTAATCCTTGATTGGCGCAACTTTTTCATTATTTTGAGATAATCGAGTTTTTCCATGCATTTCGATGAGTGTCAATACTCATTTCTTGTAAACTCTTGTGGGTTGATTAAGAAAATAAAATTCCGCCGCTTATTGGTGGTTGAAAAGACTTCAAAAAATAATTGAGTTACTCATTAAATAATTAAGTCGAAACTAATAAGCTAATTATTAAATTTGTAAAAAGTCAAGAAACTAAGTTTGGTGGTTGTGAGATTCACGGTGCAAATTCATTGTAAGATAGGGAAGAGAGATAAGGGTTCCAACTCGTAGTTGATTGATTGACGGACTTGTGGATGGATCTATTTGACATTTCTAGACTGAATAAATTACCCAAATGATCATTGAACTTTACAAAAAAATTTCACAAGGTCTCTAAACTTTAAAAATCACCATATTCTTCACTGAACTTTGTAAAAGGTTTCAACATGATCACTGAACTTTAAAAAATCACATTATTCATCACTAAACTTTGCAAAAAGGTTTCCACAGAGTCAATGAACTTTGCAAAAAGTTTTCTAGGGGGTCACTTCCTAGTTCAGTGATGAATTATGTGATTTTTAAAATTCAGTGATCTCATAGAAACCTTTTACAAAGTTCAGTAATGAATTAGATGATTTTTAAAGTTCAGTGATCCAGTGAAAACCTTTTAAAAAGTTCAGTAACCATTTGAGTAATTCACTCCTTCTAGATTTGACGCGATACCTTACTGAAATTTTTAAAAATATTAATAATAATTTTTATCTAATTCTCTTGAGACGATTCACCTTTTTTAAGATAGAATCTTAGATTAATATCATCTAAAGAATTAAATAATACTCAAGTATCACTACATTACAAGGTCATCAACAATTATATGAGAAGGAAAAATAGTTTATGCTTGCAACAAGTAGTTAAGAAAGTAGGAGGGTGAAAGGTTGGTTATCTAATTCTTCAAATATATTTGGATAATCATTTTTGCAAAAGATTTTAGATGAATTTATCAAAATGACAAAGAGATAAAAGAATACTAAAGAAAAACTTAGGCAACAAAGGTCCGAAAGTGTGGTTTAATACAGTACTATAGCGGCAAAGATATTCAATTGAAGTCGAACAATCAGCAGTTTAATGAAATTGTGTACGTGTTAGGTTTTGGAGAAAAAATGAATTTCTCCTTCACACAAAGGGATATGTTAGAGACAAGATAAAATCAAGTAGTTCAAGAATTCATTCATGAAGGAGAAAGTGGTCCACAAAGTATTTGATGATGAGAGAATTGGTGGGCAAAATGGCAGTCTGGATACAAGTGGAATAAGCGTGTTAAGAAAAGGGATTTGGCAATGATATTTGTGTAGATTCAAATCAATTTTCTTGGATTGATCTTGTTTATTTATTTAGTCGAGCACATGGTAGGCATGGAGCAAGACTTCACATAAGGACACCACCAAACCAATTATATGACCAATTTGTTGTTCATTATTCAATTTGGTCACTTACCAAACTTCCCCTTAATACGTCTCTCCGAACACACACAGCTAGAGTTCATGTAAATTGGGGGATGATGAAAAGAGAATCTCAATGTGTATCTTTACTTTGTAGCAAGATGACATGTCGATGTTCTACCAATATTACACCTTGTTGTCAGGGATGGCAACGGAGCAAATCAAGGTTGGGGTAGCCATTCATGTTTCCTGTCCCATCGGGTATTTTTGTTTCCTTGGCCCACTTTCATATACGGTGAAGGCAAGGTGAAGTGAGATGGAATGGAACAATTGCGGTGCAAGGCAAGTTCCTTTCATCGTTTATTATTTTATTTATTATTTATTTTTATTTTTCAATGTCTTTAATTGGTGGAAATCGCGACTTTTTTTTTTTTTTTTTTTGTGTAGAACGATATATGCTTTGTTTAAAAGGGATGATGATTCTTTGATTTTTGTATGATAAGAAACTCATATTTTAAAATGGTCTTTAAACAAGGTAGAACTTGAGGATATCGGATTTAACGAATTTTTTTATCACTCGTATCTCAGAGTTAGTTATAAATAAATCAATCATGCTACTTGTACAATGAATTTGATAACAAATTTGACAATGTGTGAGTTGACAATCATCATGTCTACTAATTTGAAAAACAGTTTTTGAATTCAATGGTCAAGATCTTTACACTTTACACATTGTCAAACTCATTGTGTAAATTCATTGTACAGCTAGATTAATTCATAAACAAATCAATCATGCTACTTGTACAATGAATTTGTTAACAAATTTGACAATGTGTGAGTTGGCAATATACCCCTCTCTTTCCTTTTCGAGTCCCACGTTGCTCCACGGGATGACAACGCTTGAATCCCCCCATCACAAGCCTCTTATTTTTTTTAATTGTATCATGAAGATGAAACTGCTCCCCGTTGTTAACATATCA